TCCTTCGTCGCGGCGCTGTGACGTATGCGGCCGGCAAATTCGACCTTCGGAGGACCCGGCCTGCCGTTTTGGACACAGCCATAAACACGAACGTCTTTCCTTTGTTTTTATGTCTTTAATCCACTTTGGAGTGATTTTTTTCACTTGTCTGGACCTGTACGTCTCCTGTGTTAATGTTGGTACATGTAATATGATAATTCTGTACTGTGGAGATCATTAAGAGTCGATGTCGGGTGAAAAAACCTTTCGCTAACACTGTGTTGCCTGTGAACTGGAAGTGATCGGAGTGGCATCACGTGCTGGACCGGATGTCCGTGGCATATAGCTATTTACCTAATTTACCTCTGAGATCAATAAAGAATTTGAACTGCATTTTGAATTTGAAGACAGAAGACATTTAAAATGATTCAAACTATTTTTCAGTCCTAAAATCTCAAACATTGAGCTGAGACATGGCCATCAGCTGGTTTCTCTGCTTGAGTTTCTTCACCCGTCTCCATTGCTGGGTTCTGTTTGAAATGAAGGTGGAGCTCAGCTAGTGACAGTGAACAAGGATGACATCATTCCAAATCCATCCCAGGTGTGAGCTACGACTGTGATTGGTTCCACGTGTGAGGAACAAGGTGTGTGTCCAATCACATTTCAAGAAAGAAAAAACAGTAACAAAACTATGCTGAGCCAAAAACAAGCTTCCTAAAATGTAGTGGAGCTGAAAGTACAATTTTAGTGGATTTTAGTGGATTGAAAGTCATAAGTTCCCAAAAAACATTTACTTAAGATTCTCAAAAAATGTACTTAAGTACAGTACTCAAGTAAATGTAGTGTTGTAAATGTACCACTGCCTGCAAGCTCCAGGTGTTCAGACTCTCGACTCACCACATCATTCGATGTTAAAGGTCTGTAGTCCAGACTAGCTCTGAAGTCTCGGATCATACACATAATCTCATAGTTGGGTAAATTAACATCCACCTCCTGAAGTGAAACAGAAAAAAGAAGAGAGAAGAAAAATCTTGTATTCATTAAACATAATAAAAATAAACAAAAACATTGTGTAAATAGTGATTCAGCATCCATACTGTGTCCTGTTCTTATTTATAGTTGTGTTTTACAATCAAGCTATTACGACATTCTTGGTGTGATTTTAATCAATTAAACAATCAGCTTAAACACAGTCTGATATGACTTTGTTTTTTATAAAGTTTAGTTTATAAATTCCAGATACAACTAAAGTACAAATCACAAATTAAATGAAAGGCATCAGCAGAATAAAAAATCTTATATCTGCCCTTTTTCTCGAATATATAAATTCAAACAAAACTAGTCTTTAAATAATAAAAACAAAACAAACAAAAAAAAACAATAAAGGTTTAACTCTTTCTTGAACAACAATTCATATAAATACACATTATACCATTTCATATTTCTCCAGCAGATTAACTTTTATCATTCTCTTAAAAACATCCATTGATCTGGCATTTTTAATGTCATCTTCCAGATTATTCCATAATCCTTGGATTGAAGTAGACAGTTCCTTCAAACGGGTTCGAATTTTAGGTTTAATAAACATTCATACCCCCTTGAGATTGTAACAACTCATTAGTAACTGCACATTTTATAAGTAGGGGTGTAAGAAAATATTGAAACACTGAAATATCGCAATATTTCATTTCCCGATACTGTATTGATATTCTAAAGCCCTGTATCAATTTTTTATTAAGGTTTAAAACATCAACTTTCCTGCCAGCCGTTCATTTTTATGTTGTAGTTCAGCCTCTGACCACTAGTTGGCAGCAGTGAGCCTGCCATTTGGGTCCTCTACCTCTTGAGCGCCAGAGAGTAAGGGTAGCATTAGCATTGTGAGTAAACATTAGCTTCATGCTCCGATAGCTGAATCTGAGCAGAAAAGACCGACACCCTCGACCTTCTAAGCTGAGGCAAAGTTACAGGGGGACCACCACCCCAGTCTTCCAATCCAGGGTGGATTGCCCCTGATGTCCATGCGATATTGCAGAGTCGCGTAAGCCAACACAACCCTGCAACATCCAGAGCCTTAAGGAACTCTGGGCGGATCTCATCCACCCCCGGGGCTTTGCCACCGAGGAGCTTTCTGACCACCTCAGCGACCTCATCCCCAGAGTCTGGAGAGCCCAACCCAAAGTCCCCAGGCTCAGCTTCCTCAACAGAAGGCATGTTGGTGGTATTGAGGAGTTCTTCGAAGTATTCCGCCCACCGGCCCACAACGTCACGAGTTGAGGTCAGCAGCACACCATCCCCACCATAAACAGTGTTGGTGCTGCACTGCTTCCCCCTCCTGAGATGCAGGATGGTGGACCAGAATCACCTCAAAGTTGTGCGGGAGTCTTTCTCTATGGCCTCTCCAAACTCCTCCCACACCTGGAT